CTGTCTCTGTTCACTGGAGACATGGACACATTTCAGACTGGAACCAGTCCAACATGTTGGACCTTCATCCAGTCAGAGAAAATGTCCTCAGAGCTGCTGCTGCTGTCTGTCCAACTCATCTTGTCCTTTGTTGTCTCTCAGTCCCACAGGTGGAGGTGGAGTCAGGAGAGAAGTCTGTCCTGCTGCCCTGGAGAACCAGAGATAAACTGCCTGGAGATGCTAGAGTGGAGTGGAAGGACAGGAGGGACAGGAAGGTCCATGTGTTTAAAAACGGTCCTGATCAGCCTGGAGAACAGAACCAGATCTACAGAACCAGAACCAAGATGAATGAAGACCTGCTGAGAACTGGAGACCTCAGTCTGACTCTGAGAGACCCAACTTATGGAGACAGTGGGACCTTCACCTGCAGAGTCTACAGAAAGAAGGGGGACATCCTGATGAAGAAAGAAGTTCATCTAAAGGTCAAAGGTCAGATGTTTAAATCTAATGTTATATTTTTTCCTCTCGGCTCCATTTCTAAAGGAGGAAAAAGTAGAAACTCAGAAAAAAACTGGTTCATGCTTGTAGTATCTGCAAGGTCCCCACATCCAACTGAGATTTCATCAGCCACCCCCTCTATGTCTGCTATCCATGTGAGCAGATGTTCACCACTGATCACCATGGAAAATGTGTTACCATGCAGAGAGCTCTGAGGAGAAATTCATGGTGGATGAACATCAGCTCCTATCAGTGAGGGTCACAGATAGAAACATCCAGAGACTAGGCATGAAACAAAGTGAAACTCTGAGTAGAAACATAGAACCTTTGCTGATTGTGGGCTGATCTTCTGCATAATCTCTGTAGTCAAAATCTACTTTAACTGTCAGTGGGAGCAGCTTTTAGATCAAAGGTGTTCGGCCAAAATCTCTGTCTTTTCCAGGCTTTAATCCCCTCTAAGTGTTCATTCATATTTATTTCTATTTACTGCAGTTAAAGCACACTGATAGTCAGAGTTTCTATGATTGGATGAAGATGTTCTCACTGCTTTAACAGCAAGACAAACCAGGATAAACTGCTCAAAGGGTTTGAGTTTTCCACTGACATAAAGTTTCACAGTGGAAATTTCTATAGATGTTATAGATTCCAAAGTAAAGTTTATGTTTATATTGATTTATTGCTGAAGCACAAAAGGTTAGAGAAATTTATACTATGAACACGTGGAGACAAAATATAAATAGAAGCTTTAGTGGGACTGAAGAAGATGCTGGACCAGAACCAACAGATGGATCAGAACAGGAAGCAACTAAGTTCCTGAAGCACAGAACCAGAACCTCTGTTTCCACATCTGACCCTGAAACCAACAGAACCAGAACCTCTGTTTCCACATTTGACCCTGAAACCAACAGAACCAGAACCTCTGTTTCCACATCTGACCCTGAAACCAA